AAACTGTGCCAGTGCATGAATTGGTGCATAGATAGGTCAACTGGCAATGGACAAAATGCTGGCAGTAGTAGATGATAAAGCTGCAATAGAAAATTCAACAAGTGCATACACATTGTCTTCAATTATAGATTCCCATGGGATGAACCAGGTGGGGGTGTTTTTTTTGGGGGGGGGAAGCAACCATTTCAAATAACAAACCTCCGTTGTTTTACGCAGTATTTATTGAAGAAGCTGTTCGGCAACAAGGATTGGTCAAATGGAAACTTTCAGCTTGAATTCCCTTCACTACACTCTATATTTAAAAAAAAAAAAAAGTGAACATGGGCAAAAGGATGAATGAAAGACTCCGTCCTCACCCCGTCCCCGCTCAAACTGAAGCACCAACATCGCACTACATAAAGCAGCAACTGGGCGTTTCTCAAGTTTAGCAAACTTAAGGGGGCGGGGCTTTGGAACAGCAGTGGTGCTAAAAGAGACAAAACTCTGATTCAGAGTGGTTCCTTTGACAGAACCTCACGAATACGGGAACTCTTCCTTTGACACCTATGCTCTTCAGCTGAGCGGCGCAGGGATTCTACACATGCAAAGAATGCACGTATGACTGAGATGTGCGTGGGTCAAAGAAAGGTGCAAACATGTAAAGAAGGCATGATAGAAGCATGTTGTGGAGTTAAAGAAATGAGGGGACCTTCATGGTGTCTCCCACTTTACTCCCCCTGCCCAAGAGTTCTTCCTCCTGCTTTAAATGATCACAAATAAAAACCCCAGACTGGTTCTCAGTAGAGGAACTCAATTGGCTCTGCAAATTTATGGGGGGGGGGGGAAGAGGGCAAAGAAGGATGAGTCCCTTCACCTGGGAAAAAATGTAAGGCACTAGAGAAGGGAATAAGGTGTGGTTTACAAGTTCTGTCTTCCCCAAAGTCCAGGGCAAGAAAACTTTTCTGAAAAGGGCAACTGGTTGGCTTTATTAAGGCACCGCCAAACAGGCCACTGTGGAAAAGGGAAAAAAGGCAGCTGCCACAATAAAAGTAGACAACAGTTAAGTGGAAGACTGGAGATTTCTTCTCCTATCCCCATGAGAAAATTCACTGGAAGGTTTGAAGAAAACGGACCCTCACAGGGCTTCGGTGGTTCGCTGCGGAATGCATCCCTCCATCTCAAGGGCTTCGGGCCAGCCCTCATACTTGTTGGAGCTCCTGCTGTTTTTCATATGCTGCAAAAAAAAGAGCAAAGGTAAGGAGGCCTTCATGAGGACTGGCCTCTTTTTCAGAGATTGTTTCAATTGATTCTGGGGACCTTCCAAGGTGTCCTGAACCAAATACCTGCTCAAAGGGACTCTTGTCTTGCACTCCTTTGGCTCCAACAAACACCCAGCTGTCTCGAAAGGCCAGTTCCCGAGCAAATTTGCTGCCCAGTTCTGCGAAGATTTTACGGGCCTCCTCATTCATTCTGGAGTGAAGCAGAGAAGACGATTGTGGAAAAACCTCTCTACGGTTCATTTCTTTTACTCCATCTGATCTCCTCTTCCTTCTTGTACTTTTTGGGTGGATTAAGGCAGTGTTTCCCAATCTTTGGCAACTTGAAGATGTCCGGACTTCAACTCCCAGAATTCCCCAGCCAGCGAATTCCCGGCCGGGGGAATCTTGGGGGTGGAGGCCGGGCAACTTTAAAGTTCCCAAAAATT